TGGTGCTGCCAAGAATCGTGGGTATTGTCCCTCTGTGCCCCAGGAGAGAATCTGCTTTTAAAAGACACACGTCCTTGGGAGATCTCAAAGCTGGGTCATGAGAATCAACTTACATTTTTCCCTTGTGTATGAAAACTTAAAAGCCACACATACAAGGTGGTGGACTGACATAGATCACAGTGAGATTATTCAACTTGTCACACAAAGTGGAATGCTCAGGCTGGAAGGAGACATTTGTTGTAGGATCATTATCAGTGGCACTATTATTGAGCTCAAATACCCTAGCCTTTGAAGGTTCTTCTTTGACTCCTGTTTTGTCCATAAGGGTACTTTGTGGTTATATGCCCACCCTAGATACATCCCCAGTCCTTATCTTTGTCTCCAGTCCTAGACTCACTGTCATCCAACCCCACCTCCCCTGTTCCCACTTTCTGTGTCACGTCCTCCTTTTCTGCTCCCCAAGGTTTCCCATGATCCATCTTGGCTCCAGACTCCCACCCTTCAGCTGTCAGAGGTTCCTTGGGTCCTCCATCTCTCCTGATCCCCTCTGATTAGTAGGAGGGGATGTGAGTATGACTGAAGGTCCTGCTCTGCCTTTACTTAAGTCCTGGGACTGCACGAGGGAATGGGCCCCAGTCTGGAGTCCTGGATTGCCTGGATATTGATCTATGGCAAAGAAGTAATTGATTTCAACACAATTACGTTGAACTCTAGGCTTTTGCCAGGCACTGGGAAGAGCACCAGCATATTTTGGGAGGGGTGGTGGTCGGGAGACACACCCAGTGCTTAGGCCTTGCCCTGAGAAATGGTCCAGTTATAAAGACAGTAGCTAAAAAAATGCGAGGCAAGGAAAGGTAAGGAATAGGATGTCAGGCTTATTGAGTGCTTTATGTCAGGTGTGCGTCAGTAATCATTCTGCTCTCAGGCGACAGTGCCCTACAGTAGAAAAATCTCATTGTCACCCCCATTTTGGAGATGAGCATGCTGAGGCTCAGAGAAAGGCACACAGCTAGAGAGTGAGGGAGCTAAGGTTCCAACCAACGGAGAGCCTTCCCTTCTACCCAAGACTCTATGAGCTTTTATAGAGCTACATGCCACTTGATTCTTTCTGGTGAAGGGAGCAAAGGGGTATTTAAATCCTCATAGAACTCAAAATATTCTTCGTGGAGAAGAGAAAACAGAATAAAAGGCCTACCCCGGGAAGAATAGATTCAGAGGGCCTGTCTTGGGGGAAGACTCAGCATTGACCTCAGGCCAGTGGCTTCTTACTCCACCTCTGATGAGGTTATTTACCAAACAGAACCTTTATCGGACCCATCAGGTTGTTCCCCAAACTTACTGGACTCTGATGTAGACTGAGAGATTTTTTTATCAAGCAGATGTGAATCCTTTCTCAGGCTCTGGGTTTCCGTGCCTGAACTTCTGAGGACCGAGAATGAGGACCTCTTCATGTGAAAAGGATGCAGGAACCAGCTTGAAAGGGTCACCACTGTCCTAATCAAGACAACCTGCAGATCAAAATGAATCATGGCAGGAATAGTTTCCAATACTGAATGATAATCCATGAGTCTAGAGTACTCCTTAAGAAAAGCTTTGAAAATCGAGATTGAGAGAAGGGAAAGATCTTTACAAAAGATTGTTCAGAATTAAAGATACAAGTAGACATTGGAAAGAAGAAATCACCTTTAAAAAAACATAACAATTCAGCCACCAGTTATCAGTAGATGGTCTTTAGGTGAAATGATGTTAGGGCACAAGATATGGACTGTGGGAACCACGGTGAACTTAACACCACTTACTTACAGTGAAACTAGACTTTTTCCATGTGGCTCATGAGGCAGGATCAAAGTGAAGGGCATAATATCAGATAGTAACAGATTTTAAAAGGAGAAGAAAAAATAGAGAAGTCTGGACAAATAGAACACACATCATGAGATGATAAATGTAAAGTCAAGGAGAAAAAGTCCCATTGAATGCGAATGGACAAAAAGATCCAGATAAAAATCCACAACTTTCTAAACCAACCAACCGACCAACAAGGGCAAGCTTTTGCGGCGCCTGGGTGGCTCAGTTAGTTAAGCGTCTGCCTTCAGCTCAGGTCATGATCCCAGGGACCTGGGATTGAGCCCCACATCCAGCTCCCTGCTCAGCGGGAGTCTGCTTCTCCCTCTCCCTCTGCCCCTCCCACCACTCATGCTTTTTCTCTCTCTGCTCTAACTTTCAAATAAATAAATAAAATCTTTAAAAAAAACTGCAGGAAAAATAAAATCCTTGAGTGGCAAATTTTCACAGCCCTCTCTCAGCAGCCCCCAAATTAGTAAGGATACAGAAGATTGGACAATTAAAACATCTGAATGTAGAGGTAGATACATAATCATATAAAGTACATAGCATATAGAAGGAGATACAAAATAAAGACATAAAATACATGTATAATAATTATACATTTAGATATTAGATAAGATAAAATAGAAGTTAAAAAATAAAACTATTCGGGGCGCCTGGGTGGCTCAGTTGGTTAAGCGACTGCCTTCGGCTCAGGTCATGATCCTGGAGTCCCGGGATCGAGTCCCGCATCGGGCTCCCTGCTCGGCAGGGAGTCTGCTTCTCCCTCTGACCCTCCTCCCTCTCATGCTCTCTGTCTCTCATTCTCTCTGTCTCAAATAAATGAATAAAATCTTAAAAAAAAATAAAAAATAAAAAAAATAAAACTATTCTACTTTTGTTTAAAATGAATATATAGATACAGATACAGAAATATGTATATATATTAATACATACAGTTATACACAGAAATCTATAGGTTATTTTACCAAGAAGATAAAGGAAAGTCATTATTTTTAAGGACACATCATATGTTTATAAAATTTAACCATCAATTGGACATAAAGCAAGTCTCAATATATTTCAGAAGAGTGAAACCCCCAAAGGATGTTCTTTGATCACAGTTGCAAATGTGCTGGATCATTGAAGAAATGATAACTAGCGTTGCCACATATGTTTGGTAATTGAATAGCCTTTTGAACAAAACTACAGAAGGAAATCTGAAAGGAAAAATCAGCGTGAACTGGATGAAAATGATACTGAATAAATGGCAGTAAAATAGACCTCTTCTGTCTTGGGAATTTGCCTTTCGATAGAAAGATTTATGGTGTTCAAATCATCTCATATTAAGGGAGAAGGTGTTACACGTTAAACATCCCTAGAAATGCCCCTTATCTCTGTCACCTTATTAGGTGTTAGTGTGGGGTTTAAATTATGCACATAAATGGAAAAATGCCAAGCTGAATCTCATGCTTGATCTGTGTGGGATCTCCATGACCATTTTAATTCATAAAGTTCATAATCTTCTCTCTCAAGGGACTTCTGGACAACACCCAGGGAGTGTGGCACCACCAGGAACCTGAGAGAGGGTGAGGAAGAATCAGAGGGAGATAGGGGTCGAGAGAAGAAGGGACAATGAGGAATTCCAAGGAGGAAAGGGGGAGGTGGTCCAGGTATGTGGAGGCCGTGGGCCAGGGAGCCCTCCTATACCAGAGGGGCCTTGCTCAATTTCCAAAACCAGGCCCCAGATCCTGCAGCCTGGAACTGGCACAGATGCATTGCTGATCTCGACCCAAAGTATTCGAAAATAAGGTCCGTGTTCTCCCTCTGGAGCTAGCAATGTGCAGCAGGATGGGGGGTTGCTATCCTCATGTCCACTGTGGATCCTGATGCAGGATGGTAGGTGGACAGTTTCCAACCCCAAGCATTCGGGGCGCCTGGGTGGCTCAGTCTTTAAGCGTCTGCCTTTGGCTCTGGTCATGATCCCAGAGTCCTGGGATTAAACCCGGCATTGGGCTCCCGGCTCAGCTTCTCCCTCTCCCACTCCCCTGCCTGTGTTCCCTCTCTTACTGTCTCTCATTCAGAGTGAGAGAGGGAACAAGTCAAAAAAAAATCTTAAACAAAACCAAAAAACAAACCCCAAGCATTCTCTTACATCGAAGCAGAAACGTCATATTCACCAAGCTTTTTCTAGTTGTGACCGGATGGCAATTAGTATTTGAAGGTAAAATGGGTTCCTTCCCAGACTGATGGAAACGATTTCATCCATCTTCCATGTCTAAATCACTTTTCATTGAAAACATTATCTCAGGAGACATGCAGTAATTCATAAGGCATGTGTAGCTCCCTCTAGGTTTGCATTTGGACCCTGTCACCTATGTGTCCCCAAACACTTGATTGGCAAAGTGGAAACTGCGCTGTCACAATCAAGATCATGGTGCTAGATGATGTCTTACATAAATGGAATTTCAATATCCTGACCTGACCGGAAATTATTCTGTTCTTAAGAGGGAGAAGATTGAAAGCAAAATTCAGATAGTGTACTGGGTGTCAGTGTTTTATGTACTAGGAACCTTTTGGTGGGTAAACCCAAGCACGTGAGTTTGCATTATGTCAATTTGCAGTCTGTATTTTGGAGGGGAGTGGTGGCAGCCCTAGCAGTTCCCTAGTGACATTGACAAAATCGGTTTCATTCTTCAGTGACACAGAAGGGAGAAGGTACAGATGTCTTTGTGTCTGAGGCACCGTCACAAAGCTCTGTCTCAGTCTGGAGAACAGGCTTGGCAGGACCCAAGCACCCTCAGTGCCTGCAGCTGAGCAGCCATGGCTTGGAGAATTGTAGGGATTCCCAGGGCAGCCGGCAGGGGGCGCGCGCGCACCCCCGACGGGGGTTGGCGGGGACGCGCGCGCACCTCCGGCGGGGGGGGGTCGGGGGCGCGCGCGCACCTCCGGCGGGGGGGGTCGGGGGCGCGCGCGCACCTCCGGCGGGGGGGGGTCGGGGGCGCGCGCGCACCTCCGACGGGGGGGGCGGGGGCGCGCGCGCACCTCCGACGGGGGGGGCGGGGGCGCGCGCGCACCTCCGACGGGGGGGGGCGGGGGCGCGCGCGCACCTCCGACGGGGGGGGGCGGGGGCGCGCGCGCACCTCCGACGGGGGGGGGGGGGCGGTTTCCCTGAGGGCGCAGCAACTGCCTGCTGTAGGAAGACTTCATGGCCTTCTCTGACCCAGGGCACCGCAGGGCAGGAGAGGTTTCTGCTGCCCCCCGAGGACCCACTACCCTCCGAGAGCCAGGGCTGCGTTTACCAGCAAGTTCTGCCGCCGCCCTGGGAGAACCTGGGGCCTTTGCAGCAACTTGGTGCCTCCTGAGGAGCGACGGAGAAGCAGCCTTGTTGGCTGAGTGCTGAGCAGGGGGCTCTGGGCGGCTTCCCAGGCCCTGCTGGTAGGTGAGCAGCACAGTCGCTTGCATTTGGGGCGCTGTTGCCCTGGTTTGGTCCTTATTTTCCCTGAGGGTATTTGAACAAGAGGTATTTGACTCGGGCATCCGTGGATGGAGGGGTCCCGCGACGCCACGTCAGAGATGCTGTGGTGGTTTTGTTACAGATGCAGGCTTGTTTCTGGGGAGAAATCCTGACTCCAATTAAGAGGAAGGGGAGCAGCATTTAGATGGGAGGTGAAGACGCTAACTGCTGCCTCTCAGGACCTTCTAGAAGAATGAGCTGGGATCCCACTTTCTGATTTCTGCTGGAACCAGAGCCCCAGGTAAAAACCAAGTACCGTCCAGTTTGTAACCTTAAAGGTAGAAACTCTCAGGGAATTATCAGCCCAGGTCGGGTTTCTTTGGAAGGAAAGAGACTTGAATGCAGGACAGAGAAGCTGTGATTCAACCGTAGGCACATTGGGGAATATCAGAGAGGCTCCCTGTTTTCAGGAGGAAAGGGGGCAATTTGGAAGGCTGTTAAGAACCGAAGGTCCATTGGTGGCATCTGGGAGTTCCAAGTGTTGTAGCTTCTCGTGGGTGAGCCCTGTTGGAGGAGGTGAGGGGGGGATATAGAGATGAGAATAGAGTTCTGCTAGCTGGAGTAGTGGAGTATCCATGTGCGAGGTCAAGTCCATGTCTTCCTGTTGGGTCCCCACTTTATTTGGAGGGGTAGGGTGTGGGGGCTCCCCCTGCCCAAACCTCCTGCCTGTGTTTTGTGACATTTCCCATTAGGAGTTTTCAAAATTACCCTTTTAAAAAAATTTTATTACGTTAGTCGCCATGCAGTACGTTTTTGATGTAGTGTTCCATGATTCATTGTATTTGTGTAACACCCTCACTCCTTCTGATCAAGATTTGCTTTGATGAGCAAAATAAATCAGAGAAAGATAAATACTGTATGATTTTACTCATCTGTGGAGTTTATGAAGAAAGAAAAACAAATGAGCCAAGAGAAGAAAAAAGAGTCAAACCAAGAAACACTCTTAAGTAGAGAGAACAACCTGTTGTTACCGAGGGGAGGTGTTTGGGGGAATGGGTTGAATAGGTGATAGGGATTAGGATGAGCACCAGGTGTTGCCTGGAAGTGTTGAAGCGCTAGATTGTACACCTGAAATGAGTATCATAGTGTATGTGGACTAATTGTAAATAAGAACTTTAAAAAAGTTTCCTTGGGAGAATTTCTTTTTCTCTTTAGGATTTTATTTATTTGTGTGTATGTATGAGAGAGAGACAGAGAGGCAGAGAGGCAGAGGGAGAAACAGGCCCCCGCTGAGCAAGGATCCCAATGTGGGACTCAATCCCAGGACCCTGGGACCATGACCTGAGCCAAAGGCCGACGCTTAATCGACTGAGCCACCCAGGTGTCCCTGGAAGGCTTCCTGATCAACAGTCAAGTTCTTTGTATTTCGTGGTTTTGTGTTTCAGTGCCAGCAAAGCTTTTTCAGATTGGCATGTCTCATGTTGGAGGGAATGTGCATGGCAGTTGTAAACTACTCAAGTGACACCTGAGGAACAGGGAGGGTTAGATGGGAGAAACTCTCACGAACTTCCCATGTGAAGTCTGTATCTGCTCAAGACTGAGACCAGTGAGCCAGCATCACTTCATTGGAGACAGTGTTTCTACAAAGGACTGAGAGACAGCAAGTACAGAATCAAAAACAAGATGACAATTCCAAACCATATGCTGGTTTTAATCCAGGACCCTAGGTCTGAAAGGAGCCAACTGAAAATATTTATTGGCACTTGTTTGGACTGAAGGCAAACCCGGAGTCCTGTATGTCTCCTGGAAGTGTCCTCCCCCAGTTGGTAGGAACAAAACAGACAAATACTGCAGGAATGCACTGAATGAAATCACTGAGCACATTAGGGAACATAGAGTACACTGAAGAACATGAAGCAATAGTTAAAGAACTTGTTCCAAGAATAGCAATACTTCTGGGACGTTTCAAAACAGTATTGTTCTTTCAAAAGAACTGTTTAGAACTATATGGGTTATCAGTAGTGGTCTGTTATGTTGTAAATTCAGAAACCATGCATTTGGATTAGAATCAGGATTCAGTTAGTAGTTGAGGTAAAAGAAAGACTTTTGAATTCTGAACCTTCTAAACCTCTAGAAATGCTCACAAGATCAAAAGGAGGCGATTTTAGGGAAGATCATAATCCAAAGAGGTTTCCTCCTTTTCAAGAGACTGGGATATGCAGAAAATGGCATGTTCTTTGCACCAAAGAGGTAGAAGGAGCAACAGTGAGAAAAGGAATGCAGGCCTGGTCTGGACATGTGGGGCAAGCTGTCTCCCCCGGATGTTTTCTATTTCAATTTGGGAAGTATTTACCTTCTTGTCACCAGCTGGTGTACAAGTCCAGTCAGGGTTTGGTGCCTTCTTTAAATGTGTCCCATGGACCCAAGAGTCCATCCCCTGGGATTTGGCAGCACAAGGTTTGGTTAGCAGTATGTGATAAGGGCCTCTCAAGGGAGGTTGAAGAGAATCTCTGTGGAGGTGTCTTTTCCAATAGAGAGACTCTCCAGGTTGCAAGGTGTGATGGTCAAGGTAAGTGTCCCCTGGGAGTGGCCTGTGAAAAGATTGCTCTGCTACAACATGGTTAGTTTTAATAGAAGCAACTAGATGTTTGCATTATTGAAATATACCCCCTTGCCCCACCTGTAGGTCAAAAGGGGCAGTGGTCGAATGCATGGATGTCCAGTGACTGTCTCCAAGGGTGAGAGTCTGAGTTCCAAAGGGTGTGGACTTGAGATTTTGAAGAAGTAACAGCAATGCCTTTGTCCCAGGTAGTTGGAAAATTTGCACATTTTGCTCATTGAGTCCCCAGTATTGCCATTATTGCATTGGACCATCTGTGAAGATAGGGGTTAGTAATGTACAATGAAAGTGTTGTAAAACTGGCCAAACATCACAAACGGGGTGAGGGCCCTGCACGGTAGAATGGGTTTTCTGGTCACTGTGTAGTTCAAGAGGGCTTCCCTGGGAGGGATAATTTTTTCTAACAGGATTTTAGCTACACACGAGTCATTGGCCTTTCTCCAAGGGAAAGCTTTGGTCCAGTGAGGAAACATAGGCACATTGACTAACACTTATTTCCATGAGATGAGGAAGTGGCATGAAATCCACTTGCCAAATCTCAAAGGGTTCATTGGGCAGTTTAAATGCCCAGGGGAGGTATGGATTTCTTTCCCAGGATTGTATTTTGGACCAATGGGACGAGCAAGGTAGGCACTTTTTGCAGCCTTCTTAATATTTCCCCACCAATATTGGTTCATGAACACTATCAGTTTGTTATTAGACTAATGGTTTAATGTTTGTACTATTGTTAGGCATGGGAATTTTAGAATTTTGGGGAGGACCAGATTGTTACTTGATCCAAGGCAGAATTCTCTCTTTTTATCAGTCATTAGATTCCCAACATTGTTTCTCCTTCTCTGGGCCCAGTTGTTGGGCATGTCTGATCAATTTTTCCAAACTGTCAATTGGTAGGACATCCCTTCAGAACATGACAGAGGCCTGACTCTCAAGCTCCTTTTGAGCAGATTTTTTGGCAGAAATGTCAGCAAGGCTGTTTCCTCTGGCCTCCAGAGAGTCAAGTGCAGAATACCCCTGGGACCTTAATAATAGCTAGATCTGCAGGCAAAAGTATGGCATCTGATGAATTTTGGACATAGGAGCCATTTTTTAAATTTTTAAAAATTTTTAAATTTTATTATGTTATGTTACTCACCATACAGTACATCATTAGTTTCTTTTTTCTTTAGAGATTTTATTTATTTATTTGACAGAGAGACCCGCAGCAAGAGCGGGAACACAAGCAGGGGGAGTGGGAGAGGGAGAAGCAGGCTTCCCGCCGAGCAGGGAGCCCGACGTGGGGGCTCGATCCCAGGACCCTGGGATCATGACCTGAGCCGAAGGCAGACACTTAACGACTGAGCCACCCAGGTGTCCCTGTACTGTGGAGTTTTATGGGTTTTATATTCTGGTTTTTCATGACCTATCTCATTTTTCCATCAAAACCAAACTATCCTGTCTCCTTGTGCCTCAGGGCGCTACTGAAAATCTAGTAAGTGATTTCCAGTATAGAGGAAGGACTGGATCCATGATCCATTCTTCCCACAGTTTTGATCTTTGAGATAATACCTTAACTCAAAAGTGCTCTAATGGCAAGCAGGTATTATAGGCCATAGCATGTAGGTGGAAGGACTGCAAATTGACGACTTTTCGTTTCATCATCAGCACACCACCCTATGCGCAGTCTCACTCAGCTAGGTGTCTAACTCTTGATTTAATTTTGGCTCAGGTCATGTTCTCATAGTTGTTGGATTGAGCCCTGCGTCAGTGTCAGGCTCCACATGCAGCAGGGAGTCTGCTTGAGAGTCTGTCTCTTCCTCTGCCTTCCCCACTTCCTCCCCTCCCCCGCCTCGATCTCATGCACTCTCTCTCTGTAATAAATAAATAAATCTTTAAAAAAATGAGTCAGAAAAAGATAACCATTCAGATTTTAAAATGGAAAAAGGACAGTAAACAGGAGAAAAACTTCAATCTTACTAGTAATCAAAGGACAAATAAAATTACTCACTTTTTTTTTTTAAGATTATTCACTTTTCACATTGGCAAAGACTTAAAACCTGATACTATCCAATGTTACTTGCTCCTTTACTGTCTGTAAGGGTTTTTGTAAGTTTCATGTTATTTCTTCCATAAATGTTTGATAGGATTTACCAGTAAAACCACTTGGGTCTGGGGCTTTCTTTCTGGTAAGGTTGTTATTAATTATTTCAGTTATTAAAATAGATACCGGATCATTCAGATTTTTGTTTTATTTTGTGTGGTAGGTTATATTTTTTGAGGCATCTTTCCATTTCATCTACATTGTTGAATTTGTTGACCTAAAACTGTTCATAGTATTTTCTTGTTATCTTTTTTTTTTAAAGATTTATTTATGTATTTTAGAGAGAGAATGTGAGAGACTGGTAGAGGGGGAGAGGGGGAGGGAGAGCGAGAATCTCAAGCAGGTTCCCCACTGAGTGAAGAGCCCAACATGGGGCTCAATCCCACGACCCTGAGATCATGACCTAAGCCAAAACTGGCTAAGGCCAACACTTAATCAACTGAGCCACCCAGGCACCTCTATCTTTTTAATATGTGTAAGATCTGTAGCGATAACTCCTTTTTTATTTCTGATATTGGCACACAAAAATGTTATGTTAAAGGATGATCATCCAAGTGTTTTGTAAAGTAAAAAATTGAAAAAAAAAAAAAAAACCAAACCTCCA